AGAGAGAGAGAGAGAGAAGAGGAACAGTACTGAGCAGAGAGATGGGGAGGTAGAGCGAGAGTAAAGAAAAGCTGCTGGGAACGCTGTGTTACCCGTTAAAGTAAAGGTGAAGGCTGCAGCTAAACTGCTGAGTTGCCGCAGTGTTTGACAGAACCCGTCTCCACCCTCAGCCTCTGCTGCTCTTTTCTGCTTAAGTCTGCAGAGGTCATGGTAGTGCTGCACCGTCAGGGCTAAAGCCCCCACCCTCATTTTGGTTTTAAGAAGCAGAAGTAATGAATTGTTCCTTTGCACTTGTATGTTGAGTTTGTTCAGGTTAGTTATCTGATCATTTTTTATTCTTATATTTTTTCTCACCTTGGTCCATATTTGAATGATCCAGCAGGCTCCATATTTTATGCATCTCTTATTTTGTAAAGGTGTGTGTACCCTTAGACAAAATGTTTGCTAGTCATTATTAAAGTTAAAACCAAAGATTCTCCAAGAGACAGTCAGTGGTTTCTCTTTATCAGATGCAAAGCACCTCATGCATCTGGCTTGTAATTTACTCACAAAGTCACCTGTTCACACTTTTGTGTTGTCCATTTAGTCTATCACCTGCTTCGTACATGCCAACTTGTACCACCCATAGGAAAGGAAAACGGCATCACTTTAGATTTTCAAGTGTAGATGTGATGATTGGTGCCACCTATAGGCAATGAAAGTAATAGCTTCTGCAAGTTTAACACTTTTGCCACCTGCAAGCAATGAACAATAGAGCTTTAATCTTTTCTTTTCAATAACATCTGTTTTCTTTGTGTTTATGAAATTTTACATTTAACACCTATACCACCTGGTAGCTAAAATTTTAAAAAAGTGTTACATAATATTATATATTTGATATATTTGATATATTTTATAATATCTTATAATAATAAATAATGTCTGGCATTGTACAGCCTTTATCAGACAATTGAAATATTGTAGAAAACTAGAAATATAGTCACCTGTCCAGCATGTAAATGATATGTAAATTAATTTAGTAGTGGCCAAGGTTTTAGTTTAAGGTCCAGATGTTAAGGTGTAACATGGCGATCGCTACAGACTCAGCCGCTTCAAAAACGCCTTGGCAAAGCATGTCTGCAAATTGGAGCAGGACATCCTCCGCAACCAGGCAGTCAAATATGGTTAACATGATGCAATGCGTCTTGTGTGATCAGCCCTAAAATCTGCTGGTGCAACACGCCTGTATCGTCCGGTACTGTTTCAAGGTTCTTCACATCAAAGACAGTTGCTTTAACGTCATTCTGCCCTCTACTGGTCAAAAATGTATTAATAAAGCTTTAATTGACTTTTCTTTTTACCCAAGAGACACAATAGTAGCCCAGAAGCTTTCCTGTCTGTGAAGTAAGGGCTGGGGTCAGATGACTTTGACTGATTTAGTAAAAGTTTTTCTCAAAATATTCATTTAACTATACTTAGCAATCTTGCCACAGGGATTATTTTCAAAAAGGAAAAAACTGGAAGTTCAAAACAAGCTTTTACTTTTTATATAAGTACTGCATATTGACAGTGAGTTGACCCGCCAACTCCTTTGTAGGCTTTCACAGAGGAGCAGAAGTGGTTTAAACCCCCAGAAAGGAGGTGGTGGGAGCACAAACTCCTCATTCTTGTAACCAGTTTGTACAAGGGTTACTAAGTAATGGGCCACTTGGGTTTCTCCCAAGGCTACGGCCAAGATAAAAGTTTTAGCTACGGCTGTCTGTTGTCAGTGTAATTCTAGTCAAACCTTAGCTTTAAGAACTGGGAGGGAAGCTTGTGAAATGGCTGTGGTTGTCATAAGCTGAGAGATGCTATGTGGCTGATGCAAGAATGCACGAATACTTGATCAGTCATTTTTGGAGACAATATTTTACTTTTTCATAGGAGGGCATACAGTGTACTCCAAAGGTATTAGCTGCATCGTTGCACAGAAAGTACTTATTTGAAGGTGGGAGCTTCAGGGTTTAACAATAGTGTTTGTGGTAGGGAATAAACAGAGGAAGTGCCCCAGTTAAATGCATCGGAAGTTGCATAACATCCATAAGCAATTTCACTTTTCCACCTGAGTGCTTGCCCTTCTCACCCACTCACATAGGAAGTGTATAATGGGGAGGGGTAAGGGAAGATGAGGAGTGAGGCAATGACTTCCTGAGACTTCAATCATGCAGGAGATGATCCAAGCGGGGAGTCCCCCACGTCGCCCACGCACTCCTGCACCCGCATCCCTCTGTTGCACGACACTCTGTGCATGCACTTGGGCGGTCCCCGGGGGAAACGTGCAACGACGACACTCACACTTTGTCAGCCATTTTTAAATACACACATGCACGGTGCACCTGCTTGACATAGCACGACAGGCCTGATCTCACCAGGGACTGTATTATTTGGAGATGCAGTGATTCAGATAGAGACAAGAGCATGAAGGAAAACTGCTGAGGGGAAGATATGAAAGGAGGAGGAGGTGTTTTATCACTCCTCCACAGCACCATATCAACCCCCTCCTGCAGTCCATTCAGTCAGTCAGTGTGTGTGTGGGTGTCTGCTCTGAGTGCTCTATTATAGGGCCACCTGCTTCCTTTTAAATATCTCATCACTTCTTGCCTGCACTCAGCAAACATGCTCACTGCATTAGCTGCGGGGCGGAAAGAGGTGTGTGTAGCCTGCAGCACACACAGCTAGGATGCGCTGGACTGTGAGAGCTCTGTGTGTGTTGTGTGTTAGGTATTTGTGTGCCGGCGTTTCCAGGATGCTCACACTAAGCCTCCACTGGCTCCTTCTATAATTTTAATGATTGGTAGCCCCTCGTGCGCGTGCATGACTACGCCCTTCTGCTGTGATTGTGTGTTTTTACAATCCAAAATCTCACCCCTCCCATAGGATTAGTCTCATAAATTAGTGTCACTTTAAACAAAATAAATTCTCAGAAATGAAATTGTACTCTGATATCCCCAGTGGAAGCGAGAGAAAAGAAAGCTGTCATGGTGATTTTCATGGTAATTTGCAAGATTACAATATGCTAATGTGATAATTACAGTGGATGCTTGGCATTAATCAGCTTCTGCTGGCAATGTTGTCGTATTTACCGTTAGGATTACTGCGGCACGCTGTCACGCGCATTCTCCAAATTTCTTTCAGGAGACAATGTTGTTCTTAGGTTGACACAAGGAGAGGCTTTGGAAAAGCACGCCACTTTGTTT